ACATGGAAAGTAAAAGAGGCTTCTGTGTTTAATATTTACACTCAGGGGAAATGTAGCATATTAACTAATTTTGCTATCACTGTCACAAAATATCTAGCCAAAATAAGGGAAGGTATATTTTCACTCAGGATTTCAGAGAGTGCTGTCGTCATTGTGGGGAGGGGATGGGGGCTATAGAGGCTCTGTCACAGTGATGTGAGCATGAGGCTGCTGTGTGCTCATATGACCCAGACCAAGTGACCTTCCTGCTTCCTCCAACTAGGCTCCACATTCCAGAGATTTCTACTACCTTCAAACAGTGCCTCCTGCTGGTGACCAAGTGTTCAGACACAGTTCTGTAGGCACTATTTCACATTCAAGCTGTAGTACTTAAGGCCGGGGAGTGTTGGCTGGAGAGATGGCTCAGCAGAGTTACAAGCACTGTCTGCTCTTCCACAGGCATTGTATGACACGGGAGCCCTTGGGAATCGATCAGCTGAAAGTATTATTTTCATATTTATAGACAATCTGAGTTCCTGAATGTTGAGAATCAACTTCAGCAGAGATACTGGAATCAGATGGGATATTACCAATCACAGTTCTATGATTTCTCAGAAACAAGAGTTTCAGTCTCTTACTGAACACTTAATATGTGCTTTACATTCAACAACCCATTAATAATTTTTCCCTAGAATAAATACCTCAGTCTTAGACTAAGTGATTTGCCATGGGTCATATGCTAATAAAGTCAAGAACCGGAAAGATCTGGGTGAGTGACCTTGACTCACAAGCCCAAGAGTTCCACCATTACACAGTACTGCCACCATGATTTGTGCTGAAATGTAATCATGACACAAACACTTGCTATGCCTTCTTTTCACTCCAGGCTCACATACCCCACACATCAGTTTCTACCTAGAAGTTTTCTCAGTGGTAGATGATTAGGCACAGGCTGTCAAGGGAGCACTTATTTTATGTGTACTTTCAGTGTGTTTTATTTTTATGTGTTTGAGTGTTTTTCCTTCATGTATGTATGTGAACCTGTGTCATACAATGCCCACAGAAGTCAGAAGAGAGTGTCAGATCTCCTGGAACTGGAGTTATAGATAGTTGTTAGCTGCCATGTTGGTTCGGGGATTTGAACCCAGGTCCTTTGCAAGAGCAGTCAGGGATTTTAAGCACTGAACCATCTCTCCAGCCCCTCAATGTAATTTTTTATGTATAATAGTAAAAATGGCAATTGAAAGAGGAAAGTCTTTTGAAGTTTGCCTCATCTTAAACTTTCCTGTATTTGATTTTGACACACAGTGATAAACTAGATGATGTTTTCACTGTGAGCAGCTGGGGCAGTGACACAATGAAATCAGGGTCCCTGGGCTTCTTTAGTTGTAATGTGTCTGTGTCCTTGAAACCATTCAGTGTCAGCAAAACAGAAATGATAGTCACAGGTTACTAGAAGAAATTCAGTCTCAGCTAAAAATGTAAGGTGATGTGAATGACTGTGTATATGAAGAATGTCACTGGTTTTGACACTTTGGAGGCTGTAGAATGGAAATATGGGGTTTTCTGTTAGAAAACTGGCTAAAGTAGTTTTATTCTTGCAAATAACTTTATATTTTGTAGATGTTTTGTCATTTAAAGAATGGGTGGTACAGGAAATTAAACTATACTATATTATTTGTAATTGATACTTTATTGGTAGTTACACTAAGCATTTATTTACATATTTACTACTAATTTTTAAATTTTTATTTATTATTTTTATTTTACTTTTATTTATTGCTTGCGGTGTGTAGGTGCACCAGCGTAGTGCAATGGCCCATGGAGGTCAGAAGAAGAGGGTGTTAGATTCTCCTGGAACTGGAGTTATGGACAGTTGTTAGTCACCATGTGAGTGCTGGGAATTGAACCCAGGTCCTCTGCAAGAGTAACCAGTGCTCTTAACCACTGAGTCATCTCTCCAGCCCCTATTTTTCAGTTTTTGAGACAAAGCATCACTCTGTAGTCTAGACTGGCTTGGAACTCATTGGATAGCCTTGACTGTCTCTGACTGTCTTCAGATTCACAGCACTCCTTCCTCTTCAGCCAACCAAGTGCTAAGATTAGTTTTACATTGCTATGGTATTTGGAGAGAGAGAGAGAGAGAGAGAGAGAGAGAGAGAGAGAGAGAGAGAGAGAGAGAGAGAGAATATGCTATCCTCTCTCCCCACCCCCAGGGAGAACTAAAACTTGGAAGACAAGAGTTGAGGCTGGAAAGGGACAGATGTTAGATAGGAAGCGTCCTTGGGATAGATAACGCTGACCTCAATTACTTTCTTAATCAAAATTAAAACAGATTTGTAGTTTAAATCATAGATTCATCAAGGTGAAATTAGGTGTTTGAGACTGGAGGTAGAAAAACCAGATGGAAATCTGTTGCTTC